TTTCTGTTTATGTTTAAAAAAAGAAATGTTGTAATTTTATGCATTATTGAACTAGTCTTTTTTATTTTTTTTTATTCCTCGTGTTGCCTACCGTCACGTCAGACACTGCGAATATTTTTCAGTACCCAGAATGTATACGCAATACAAAAAAAAGTGATGCGTTTTTTTTTTTTATGTTTCTGAGATTTTTAACAAATTCCCTGATTCCCTTCGTGATGCAAACACAAAAAGGCAACTGAAAAAGAGTTGGGACAGGAGGTACTAGATTCTATTCCCATGTAGCCTTACTGTTTTAAAAGATTTATGAAAAGACAGTGATTTATTAAAATAATTGTGATTTATAAAAAAAAAATTTATGCTTTGCGTTTTAATTTATAAAAATGTTGCAATGCTTTTTTTTTTACTGTTTTGTGGTTTACTTTATTTTTCCAGTGTTCTTGTTGGTGCGTCGCACATATTTGGGCGTGTGTCGCTTATTTGTGCGTGTCACTTGGATGCGGCCGCCTCGGTGGCTCCGAAGCTAAACGCCGGTCTCCGGATTTCCAGGTAGCGAGGTGCCCGCAATCTGACAGAGGCTTATTGCAGAGAAGGCGCCGTGTAACCGAGATTTTGGTTGCACGTCAAAAGATCCCCATGTGGTCGAAATTAATCCTCAGTTCTCCGCTGGGGTGCGCCAGATGCCCGTCGTTGGTTTGGCACGCAAAGCCCCAAAATTTCACTTTAACTTATCTGGTCCGTGTCACCTGACTTTTTTTTTTTTTTTGTGTGTGTCGCGTATCTTTTATTTAGGATGATGTCCTAAGTGATATGTCAATATTTAATGTTTTATAAATAGTATATTTTCTTCCTTTACGCCGTTGCCGGGTCACGTCCCACGAACTATTACAGGCATTGACGGACCCGTTAAACCTCTTTGCATCACGATGTCTGGCAATGAAATCATTATTATTATTATTATTATCATTACCTGTCTTTTCACTGGCTCTAATCAATTAATTGAATGAAACTGTTATCTCCTTTGCTAAATACGTTGACTGAAAGCCCCAGATGTCAATAGACCTATTGCTAAATTACCCAAGCATCAAGGAGAATGCTGGGAGGTCTACGCGCGGACTTGCTCGCCTACCCCGTATAAAAGATTCGAAGTAAACAACCAAAATAAGGCACTGACGAACGCGCGTTCAAGATGCCATTTGTATTAGGCTTTTGCTTTAGAACGGGTACTGCACGCCAGCACGTGCAGCGCGTAGACCTACATTTTCCGCATTCTCCTTGACGATTGGGTAAATTAGCAAGGTCTATGGGGGGTACTCACTGGACGCTATACACGAACTTATCTCTGTGACGTCACGGCGCGGTGGTGGCGCGTCGGTCGCACTTCCGGTCTGGGGCTGTGGGCAGAAGTCCCCATGCCAGACGTGTATTCCTGCGTTGTTTTGAAAGGAACCAGACTAAAACCTAACTTCTCGTCAAAACGCCGCGACTGGGGCCGTACCAAAAGTGTCGAGAAAGGTTTGAAGGTCAGTTTTCACGTGCTCGGTTCGTCCGAGAATCTGGATATGTGCCGTGAAAAGGGAAAAGCAGACGCCGTCGGACAACGATTGCTTGGGCGGGAAGCACTTTGGGTTGAATTCACGGATACTTGTGGCCGTCAGATTTATTTGTTTTGTTCTAACATGAACGCGAGAAAACTGTCAAGTTGTGCGGACCACCTCGGGACTACGTTCAGTGCGTCTTCAAGTTCAAACGGCCGCCTGGTTGTTCGAATTGTCGTCTGCTCTTTCAAACGTTTCTGCTTGTCGTCTGCTCTCTTAGACGACGCCGGTCCGTAGACCAAATGTTGGCGCGGTACTTCCGATAAGAAGTGAGTGCAGGCCTCAAAAGACTTAAATTTGAAGGTTGGTAAGTAGGCTGGATGTAAACAGTAAATACGAGGAGATGTTGGTCATTGTTACCAGTGGCCAACACCGACTTGTTATGCCTAATTCACTTGGTCCGATTCTGCTTTAGATTTTCAGTATCGACGTCGACCATCTCAGCTACGGTTCACGCTTTTGCCGCCCGAGCGGCGTCGCGACTGAAAATTCTGAGCGAAATCTCATCATGCGAATCAGGCTTTAGCGTACAATCTGCGGCGTCCACGCGGAATGAATCGCCGCATGTCACATTATTCACGCGAAGTTTTGCGGTGTAACGAGCCTCGGTAATTTCGCTTACGCCGCTCAGACATCACCAGGAAGACGTAGAACCAACAATTCGAACGCGAAAAAGGGCAGAGGGACTCACACCGACGCCGACAACATCGCATTTCAATGGTTTGTTTATGGGCGACGGCGAGCTTTTTGCCCACACCCCCATCGCGCATGCGTGGCGCCGGTGGCGTCCGCTAGGGGCGCTCCGGGCGCTCCGGTTTGTTTGTAAACATGAGTTAGTGTATAGGGCACAAAAAAAAAAAAAAAAAAAAAAATCGGTATTTTAAAATATTTTTTTTCTATAATTTTTGCGGTAGGCAAAGGGTTAATGAACGGTTTAATGGGCCATCTTGCAATTGCAGCTTTACAGGGAGCCATTATTAAAGGCCAACCCAATTTAGAAAGTTCGCGAACAAACAACGAGCTTTGAGCGAAAGCAACAAGGCGCTCGTTTTTGTTGTGTTTGTCCGTCCCTTCTCGTTTTCTTCCTCAAGCTTAATTATCTCTACCGACCTGCTCGTTCTGTCCTGAGATATTCATCGCTAAAATTTTGCTTTTTTTTGCTTAATTAAAAACCGCGCGCTGAAAGCACGAATGTGGTTGAGTTGATATTGATGCGTTGAAGAATGACACAGTTGTTTCTGTTCCTTCGTCACTAACTCGACAGCGTGTCTTCGGTGGACTCGCCGGCGCCACAGATCAAGACGACTAAGTCACTATTCTACGTACTATTTTCATAACGCGGTTTCTGAATCAAGCGAAGAAAGGCAAACTTTTACGATAAATTTCCCGAACCTCGTTGCCTTTTCGCGAATTGTCGAAATTGTGTTTGCCTTTAATAATAACTCCTTTTAAAATTGCAATTGCACCTTGGCCAATTAAGCCGTTAATAAACAAGTTAACTAACAGATTTTGGTTAATTATTAAACATTGCAACGGTTATTTACCCATTTATTGTCCACCGAGCCCTACAGATATAACGAAAGACGGCATCCACATATCTGCCATATCCTTTTTTTTTTTTTTTTTGTAAAATATGTAAAGTTCTGTAAAGAATAAAACAAAAACACACTGAATGTCTGCGTGAACCAGATACGCCCCCTGTGGAACCATGGGTGTTTCCCTTCGAATACCCAGCTTAGGCGAGACTTACCTGGTTGTCAGAAAGCAGCTGTCGGTTAAATGTATTGTTGTGAGCGTGTAGGTTTCAGATGGTTTACCCTCAAGAGGATAATGCGCTGCATATTGTAACCATGTATGCGCTGCACATTGTAACCATTATTTCAATGCCGTGCTGTAAACTATTACAACTTTTTCCTTGCCTGATCTGCGTGTGCTCATGTTTTCTGCTCAAAATGATGTGAAATTGTTTCTTGTTTCCTTTGAATCTTATAAAGCATTACTTGTTCAGCCCACGTTGTCTTAGTTTTTGGACTTAAGTTCAATGTTAAAACGCGTGATAAAAATTGTCACGGCTTATAAGCCATTTCTTACAAGTGAACGTCGGGTGGTCCTCGAAAGGCCCTGGCAGCCATGAAGAAATAAAAGATTCTCACCCCTTTGCGACCGTCGCTTGGGTGGTTCGTCGCATAAATGAACACAAGAATGAGTGACAAGTGAAGCGAGCTGATTAAGGTCAAGAAAAAGAAGATGGGCAGAAAAGAAGACAGATAAGTTAACGTGGGATATTAAAAACATACTAAAACAATCTTGGACTTTAGTATGTGTCGTTTCGTTCCATTATAAAATAAGATAGGGAAAAAAAACTGCTTCCGAGTTTTAGATATCCCTTTCAAATATCTAATGTTCGGCCTTTGCGACCAAGGAAATAGGCATTTCATTTAAAATGCTCACCATCCGACAAACCGAAAGTCGCAGCTAATTCTGCACTGAAACAACTTGCAATCCGCTTCTTTAAAGTCGCAATTGTTTTTATGTAAAGGAAGGGTAATGTAGCTTGTCCCGTCCAATACCAATACATTGAAGCATCATGTTGCTAACGATCGTGCCGCAGCGTAATTGATGCCGCGGTATGACCGCTGGTAGGTCGTAGCTGTATCAGAAATCCTAAATGCACTCCACCCAAAGCGGCACCAAAGATTCATATTTTCGCGCGTGCAGCCGCGCACGCGCACACCTTCTGGATAACGCGCCGGTGTCGACACCTGTCGCGATCAATACCACGCGCTTCAGGCGAGCCCGGCGAGCCCCTCCCACCCCTCCGGTCCCAACACTACCCAAGTATTCTAGTACACTGTACCACAACCAAACCAGACTTTTCTTAATCGTATAATAAAATACAAATAGCAAGTCTACCTGTCATGCAAGTTTGGTGTGCCTATGGGTGCCGCTTGAGCCCGCCACCTATTGCCCGTTTTCTTGGAGGCATTTCTGCTGCACCCACTCCATCGACACCAACGGCTACGACAACATGGCGGTAGGGCGTCTGCAGTTATGCCAATCTTCGGCTGAAAACGTTGCATAACTTCTATTTAAGTTGATTTCAGTGTCAAATATGGCTGCGTCACACGTGAATAGGCTTTTCAATACGAGCTTCAGTGTTTTTTTTTTTTGTTTTATATATTTACAGTAGCAACCTCTACACTATTGCTGCCGCAGTGCCAACTTGTGATATACGAGACGGCATTCATTTCAACCGCAACAAAATTTTCAACAAATATACATTCGTGTACAGTTGCGTTTACCGAACTCCGATGTTCTTAGGTCGAGCAGCGTAAAGCAGAAAGAAAGAGCGCTAAGTTGTTGGCTCACTCTCAGCTTAAAAAAAACTGTACCCTTTACTTGCAGTCTGAAGTCGAAGAGATCTTCAAGAAGCTCCAGTGTCAGAAAGGAGTGCTGGGAGTCGTGGTGGCTAACAATGAAGGCAAGTCAAACAATCCCGCAGCTCTACAGATATCACGAGTAGTGTTTAAGTAGCTCATTCTCAGACTGGATCAAGCAAACAGAAAGGATCAGGTATCCACGATCACTTGGTTTTGATTGCGATGTATTGGGCTACTTCCTCCTGTTGCTGTAGATATTTATTACCTATTTATTTGCCTGCCACACAAACTCGTGATTCTCGGGACACCATTTTCGACATACCCGGATCTAACGTGTGGCCACTCAGCGTGCCTTACCACCCTGAAGCTGTCAGAAGACAGTAGCACTATTCGCCTCGAAAGTTTGCACTTGTGTCGTACGACTCGCCAAATTCCTGCAGGGGTACCAATCAAGACAACGCTCGACAGTGCTACCACGTCCCAGTATGCCAGTCTGATCACTCAGCTGTGTGACCAGGCACGGACCACCCTGCGCGACCTCGACCCTGGCAATGACCTCACATTCCTGCGGATGCGAACCAAGAAGCATGAAATCATGATTTCGCCAGGTAAGCCCTGTGTCGCAGTGAGCTTGCACTCTAGTGTACGGGCGCAGTTGCCGAGCAACTTTCAACGAATTACTTCATTTTTAATGTGCCTTCTTTTTTTTTTTTTTTTTTTTTTTTTTGTGATGCAGAGAAAATTGTAAGTAGGAGGGGACGGGTCAGGCATTCTGAACTGGGGCACTATTAGTTTGCTTGCTTGTTTTCTTCTTTTTTGTTCCCGCACTTGGAGTCGTTTGGAGTATGGCATCTCGAAATAAAACAGAACATTTTGCTGAAAAAGACCAGAGTCGTTTAGCTTGGAACTGCACCAAGGGAGTTGGGCAAGACATTGCGAGCAGTTTGACGTTTTAACTGCTTGTCAACCTGTTCACGAGTGCCGACTGAGCCGTCGAAAAGAAGGCATTAAGCAGGACCATCCATGCGGGAAGTGCCATTATGGGAGAGTCTGTAAAGGTTTCTAAATTATTTCTGAAGATACACCTTGACTGTAGGCATGCTATCAAATGATCTAAATCACTCAGACTGTGTGCCAGGCGTCCAGGCTCCGGAATTATGGACCTCGAAGCTGTGTGGAGAGATACAAGCAGGCAAAATGTTGCTTGATAGGCTCTGCTCCTACTGCAACATTGCCCCAAGCGTCATTTTGAAAGATAGAGCCCTATATCACCTCGTATCACTCACCCCACGCTTAGGCTCTAAATCGCATTCATCGCACCAGTTCGTCTGCACTGGTGACGTTATTTGCATTCCAATTCCTATACATCTGTCTGGAGTGAATTAATGCAGTGTAATGGGCAGATGCAAACCAAAATCACCATTGCCACCTGTGAATGCCACAGACTTTGCAGTAGTCTGTTCTGCGGGGTCCACTCTGTGCTGGTCACCGGACTATTAATGCAAAGTTTTACTGTACAGGGTCATCCATTAGGAAGATACATAGAAAGGGGGGACAGACAACAGTGACTTCAAGCTAGCAACAACATTTATTGAGCCGAAGTTTGCATATATAGGTGAAGGAGGGGAGGGTGAAAGACACCACAGTGGAAGGGGGAAAAGTAATGGGAAAAGGGGTAGAGGCAAGAAATGAGGGACGATCCGGTGAGGCTGACATCTAATCTCTTGGAGCTGTGAAAACGAGGGACTAAGCTCTGGCTCCAAAGAGTTTATCTCCCTCCTGGATAAGCCTATGGGGGGGACCCGAAGTTGTTTTGACTGCGGTGCATGGCGAAGGCCTCCATGATCTGTCGTCCATATCCTGAGTCGTGACCTCCAATCCTGGTGGGCGGAGGAAGGTCGGCCGAACAGGGTCCGCTGCACTCAGAGGTGTGTTTGGCAATCGGGTGGTAACTAATCTCCGAAGTGCCAGAGGCTGCTTTCTTGATCTCGTTCGCATGTTCCCTCACCTCATCGTTTAGGCACCAGCCCGTCTGTCCGATGTATTTAGCACCGCAGGACATGGGAATTGAATACACACACTTTTTATAACAGGTTACATAATTGGTCTTGTGATTTTTCTGGCAAGTGGGCGCTGGACCGGGGTTGGTTGACCTTTCTACAAATAGAAGCTAATTTAAACTTGCACGAAAATACCACGTTATGTTGAAGCCGAGCGCGATGGATTTCAGACGATCTGAAGTGTTGCGTATGTAGGGAATGCATGCGAAGCGTGACATAGGAGGGAGGGGTTTGGACCTGTACCACGCAACAAGTTTTTTGATTGTTGTTTCAATCACGTCTCTCGGGTATCCTGCCTTGATTAGGCGGCTAATTTGCTTGGATAGGCTGCAGGTGGAAAGATGCTGACAGGATTTAGCTTTGGCCAATGCAATTAGGTTTCGGATGATCCCATTTTTTACATTCCTCGAGTGTGAGCTGTTGAAAATACCGGGCTTAGAGGACCTCTGCTGGTGAGCCCAGCCTTTGCTAGTCGGGACCAACCTGAGATTGAGGAACTGTAAGCCTTCAGGGGAGGGGGTCTCTTTGGTGAACGTGAGCCCGTAGGAGTTTGTAATTTTGCAACGTCCAACTGAGATGGGAAGACATACATTGCTGCTCTGCAAGAGCTAATATGTTTAGCAGTTGAAAAAGTCTTCCGTATATGAATGTTTCCATCAGGTAGTGGATGAAGCCACTAGTTTTAAATACCACTCAACCTTTTTTTTTTCTTTAGCTGTTGGCAAGCTGCATGGCATTTCTAGAGAAGTTTGTTTGCACGAGACAAGGGCGGCTGTAAATATTAGTGTGCGAGGTGGGATTGGCAGCACGCGTGACTTCAATGCAGAGGCATATGAGGTGCGAGCCAGGGTGTCAAGCCGTTCATTATTTCAGTTCGGTTCCGGTTCAGTGATACATTTGAAACGACAGTTCGGTTACTGGTCCACCAAGCCCGAACAGGTTCAAACCGGTTCTTAACTCTACCTTAGTCCGCGCCCACCTGTGCATTTCTTGCGTTAAACAAAAGAAGGGCACAGCTCTCGGTCGTAAAGAAAAAATGTGTCCAAATTGATGCCATTCGCGATAAAAATACAATAGAAATTGTTGACCAGGAGCCAATTCGTTTTTCAATCCTGAATTTTTATTGCCAACACGATTGTATGCAAATTACGTGGCCATACAGGTACTCGGAGAAAGTACCAGATTGTACTGATATATGTGAAGTTAATCAGCCAGCACGCAGAATGACGCCGTGACTGTAGCACGCTCTGAGCTTGCAAACGACCCGCTTTCAATGACTGACCATGACCAGAAGACGAGAAAGACAGCAAAGGGCAGTAAAAATATAATTCAAACAAACAAGAAAAAGAAAAAAAAGGACCAGGCAGCATGCTGCACTTGAAAAAAGTGAAAGAAAACAAAAATACTTTCTTTGGGCAGCATCCAGAGTCCTACCTCATTGCTTTGCCTCTTCAGTGGTGGCTCACTCCAGTTTGGGTCGAATTATTGTTTTATAGGCGAGTAATTTTGTCGTAGCAGGGGCCAGATAGAGGTTCCGCCTCAAAAAAGCTAATGATCTCGTTGAGTTGGCGATTATATTGTCGATGTGTTCATTCCACAATAATGTTTTAGAAATATTGACACCTAAGTATTTGTATAATGAGACACTTTCTAATTGTTGTGACAGTAATGAATATTCACGGGATGATTCAATCAAGTTGGTGGTAACGGTCATTCGTTTGCATTTTCCGGGGTTAATATTCATCTGCCAATGGGTGCACCAGGAGCTTATGGTGTCGAGATCGTTTTGAAGAATGTAATGATCTGTTGGGTTAATAATTTTCTGTATACAACACAGTCATCGGCAAATAGCTGAATAGTCGAGTTAATTGAGGAAGGAAGATCATTAATATAGATAAGGAAAAGAAGGGGGCCGAGGACGCTGCCTTGGGGAGCACCGGAAGTTACTGGGACTGATGCTGATGAAGAACTGTTGACTGAAACTGACTGCTCTCTTTCTGTTAGAAACGAAGCTATCCAACTGATAACTGAAGGATGGATGTGGAGGAGAGAAAGTTTAAAAAGTAGTCGTTGCTGCGGAACAGTATCGAAAGCTTTCGCAAAATCAATGAAAATAACGTTGGTTTCTGCTGAGGAATGATTATTAAAGTTGAAAGTTTATTAAAAAAAGTTGCGATGGTCCAGGTACGAAATGATACGAGTGTAAAGTACATGTTTCATGAGCTTGCAGGGTACACTAGTCAACGAGATGGGGTGGTAGTTAGATGGATTTGATTTGCTGCCCCGATTTGAAGATGGGTCTAACTTGGAAGAAACGCCAATCGTACGGTACCTCACCAGAATTCAGACTTTGTTGAAAGAGTGTGCCGAGTATGTTGGATGCTGGATGATGAATTTAAGAAATTTGGCCGATATCCCATCGTTTCCAGGAGCGCTAAAAATGCTGGCGAAGAATTAATTCAATGAATTCATTCTTCGCCAGTAAACAGATTTGTTTAATCATTCCTTAGTATTGTACGAAAAAAGAGATACACAAAGAATAGCTTTCCAGCCATTTGGCATAGTAAGATACACTCTTTTTACCTGACGGGACTGCGGCAGGCACTACGAATCATGCCAGCAATTCCAGCGCTGCGATCGTTTCACGTAACTACGTGCCTTGATGGCTCGTAGCGTTGGCTGCAGTCCATCGTAAGGGAAGATGAATCGTAGAAGTGTTTGCCTCTGCACCGACGCTAAGTCGTGCTCCACCCAGGCATTAGACTTATTTGTTTCTTTGTTATTGAGCTGTCTCTCCATCGTTATACTTTAGTCAACACTGCACCGTTGACACCACTGTCGCAAATATTTAATTGACTTCGCATCACCACCTGTAAAAACAGGTGGGAATCACATTTTATTACGCCAAACTGTTAACCGCCACAAGAGATTATGGTTCCGTTCTGGTTCAATATCAGATGTTTGGTTTTGGTTACGGTCTTGTTCCGGTTCAGTCAAAAATAACGCTTTTGCTCCGATTTTGGGTTTAAATTCGGGTTCAGTCCGACACCCTGGTTCGAAGCCTGCCAAAGTAGTTTTTCCTTTTACGATTCCTTAGACATCTGGAAAGCCCCAGTTTATTCTCGGCAATCATTGTGTTCTAGCTTAGAACCTTCCCGAACCTAGAGCATGTACAGCGTATCGAGATCTGTGCAGGCTCTTGCAAGCCCAAGAACCTGAACCGAACCTGATAATGTATTCGCACGAGAGAGCCTTATCTCCGGAGAAAACGGAGTATGTCATAGAGCTGCGAGAAGGAAAAGACACGAGAAGGCAGAAAATCTAGGCGAGCATTCACATGACGGAGTCGCTGGAGTCTTCCTTTTCACGAACCCGCAGCGACCTTCGGGGGCTGATCGAACAAAAGGCAGGGGAAAAAATAAAAGAAAAAAAGGCACCCCATACTTTCCCAAAATTAGGGGGACAAAAGGAGGAGGCCCAGTCGCCCCTACCAGACGACGGGTATTCTGTAAGCCAGTCGCAGATTCTCCTCGGCCCCTCGCGAGCTC